TTTCACCATGTAAAAGGCTAGCCGTCCAAAGAATGCCAGTTCCAGGAAAAGATTTTGTCAGCTTTGAGGGAAGGTCCTTTTTTCCTTTCAGCATCTGTGTGCCAGATATTCCTTGGAGATTTCCACATGTCTTGGCATCACTCTGGTCTTGGCTCTAGGAGATTCTCAGCAAGAGACACTGGGTCCAAAGACATTGAGTGTTCTGCTCCTAGCTCTCCTTTCATGATGACTCTGAAGTCCCTCTTTCTGCTCACCTCTTTCTCCTTTTATCCAAGTTGAAAGATGGGTGCGTGCCACACTCCATGGGAACTCTCTTTTCAGCCCATCAGGGTTGTGACCTCCTTGAGGGTGTTGCATCTCACCTTGACCCCCTTAAAACTGATTGCATGATCATAACTCAGATCACATCCTGGTGGCTAATTACATCATGACATAACTGCCACATTTCATCATGCTTAATTGCATATATATATATATACACACACACACACACATATATACATTTACGTGTATATATGTGTGTATTTATACATATATACATACACATACACACACATATATATACATACATTTTTAATTTTTTTAAGGGGACAAAATTCAGCTCCCAAGGGATTTGTTCTGCTTTCTCCAATGTGCAGCAGCTTTTTTCTGGTCTTATTGCCCTGAAATCTGGCTTCTCTCAGACTTTCCTGATAGTGTCTAGAATGCAGCTTTCAATTCAGCTTGCCCTGGACTCAAAGCCCAAAGGTAAAGGAGGAAAAATCATTTTTAAATAAAATTTATTTTAAGCAGTGGTTTACAAATCATATTGGGGAGACTTTTATAAACTTCCATTAAAATTTAAAAAAAAATTGTGGGTTTGTTTTTTTTTGCGTTTTTTTTTTTTAAGGGGAAAAAATGAGAGAGAAGTGAGGTGAGGTGCCTCCTCCAAGGACTGCCATCAGGAGATGTCTCGGGGCTCAACAGCAGAGCCATTGTCAACAGACCTGGAAGGGATTCACGGAGTGAGTTGATGGATCCAGTCCCTGAAGAGGCTAGTGACAGAGTGGGTGGTGACAACCAAGGTCTACTCTGTTCCTTAGTAAATGATTTGTAAACCTAACGGTGGCCTGTCGGTTTTGTGTGTTCTTCACAAGCTAGTAAGCTTAAGAGAGCAGAGAGAGCTGTGAAAGGGACAGTTGTGTTAGAATTGGTAAAAACATTGTGGGTAGAGACAGATCCCCAAGGCCTTGAACTTCGACATATTTTGACAGAGATACTGTTAACTACTATCCTGCCCACTCACATTTCACAGTAATGGGAGCTGATGTCCCAGTTAATACAATTAAATCTGTATTTGAGGAGTGCACGTCTGTTATTATGTCTGCATAAATGTGTAAAGTTCCTATCTTATGAAGGTGATGATATTTTTGAGAATTTTCCAACACTCCCAATCTTCCAAGTGGCTGTATTGTGCAACATATGATTTCAAAATAGTGTGCAAACATCTTCTGTTTTTTCTTAGATAACGAAAAGCAAAGTAAGTTATGTATCTAAGTAGAAAATGCTTTCTTAAACAGGGTCCTCTTATTCTTACAGGAAGCACTGACATTCAGTGACGTGGTTGTGAAGTTCACGTGGGAAGAATGGGAGCTTCTGGACTCAGCTCAGAAGGCCCTGTACCAGGACGTGATGTTGGAGAACTACAGAAACCTGGTGTCCGTCGGTGAGGACAGCTCTCCTGGCATGAGCCTTTCCTCTCCCCGCTGCTGAAATCTTTGGGATGTCTGTGTGCTCAGAAGTCAAAGGTTCTGGGGAGCTCTGGTGGCCTAGTGGCAGGAAGCTGCACTGCAATCCCAGAGGAACACGGTTCGAATCCACCAGATGCTCTGCCGGAGAAGGAGACGCAATATCCTCCTGTACCAGTCAGATCTGATTTGATGGTACACGCACACAAAATAATAAAAAATAATAAAAAAATTAAAAAAAAAAGTCAAAGGTTCTTAGTCTACTCCTGGCCCTCGATCAATGGATATCATCTTTTTACTTTTACCTGAAAACTCTTTTCTTTGTACCTTTCATATTTTTCTTCTTCCATTAATACATCCCCCCTCACATTAATATATTCTTTTTAAAAAAAATTTTTACATGTGTGTGTGTGTGTAGCGTCAAATCAGATCTGATTGATACAGGAGGAGACTATCCCTCCTTCTCCAGCAGAGCATCTGGTGGATTCAAACCACATACCTCTGGGCTTGCAGTGCAGTTTCTTGCCACTAGGCCACCAGATCTCCCTAATAGATTCTTTTACAAACTATCACAGTTTGGTGAGTCTAACATTGTCTGCTTTCTCATGAACAGGGTATCAACCTAAGAAATCTGATGCACTCCGCAGGTTGGAAGGAGGTGAACAACTGTGGACTAACTTCCCTGAATACCAGAGAGGAAGCTTTTCAGGTGAGTGAGAGCGTAGCGGTGGGAGGAGGAGGCTCTGTATTTCTAACTCAAGTAAAAGAAGGCATCACATCTGTAAGGGTGTCTAGGAATAAATATAAAGAAATATCTATCTTCCCTCTGAGACCTTTTTCTTTCTATGATACAAATACATACTCTTAGTAATGAGGTCACATCTGCTTATTTGTCTACAATCCAACCCTCCGGCTGCTCCACAGAAGAGAGGTTGTCCAAAAAGCCTTCCATCCTCAGGAAACTAATGAGGGTCCCAGAAGTCAGAACCACCTTCAGTGCACTGAGTTCTGGTTGGACGTTGCAAACCTCGCTGGCTGTTTTACTCTTGTAGGAAAGTGGTCTCTCCCTGTTCTGTCATCTCCTTCCTTAGCTTCTCTATTTCTGACTCTGAGCTTCTCTAAATGTTGTGATCTCAGTGAGTCAGAAGCTAGGGGTGCCTTATTCCTCCATGATTTCCTCTGCTAAGTATTTTCCCAAATAAACCTCTTAATATATTTGAATTTACAAAAAAAAATTGTTGTGATTTGTTTTCAACTTGTTTTTCTAAGGCTTTAAATATTGTTTATGCTAATTAGTTATTCTATTTGGTATTTGCTTGTTGTTCATTAAGGTCTTTTTAAAAATTTTATTTTATTAATTTTTGTGCCTGTACCGTCAAATCAGAACTGACTGGTGCAGGAGGAGATTGCCCCTCCTTCTCCAGCAGAGCATCTGTTGGATTCAAACCATGTACCTCTGGGATTGCAGTGCAGCTTCTTGCCACTAGGGCACCAGAGCTCCGTGTTCATTAAGGTTTTATGAAGTAAATATATCAATTCTGTACTAGTGAAGATTGAGAGGCCATACAGCCTCTGATGTGTGTGTCATAAAATGACCTGTGTTTTACATTCTCTGCAGGGAGCATTGGTGGCCTAGTGGGTAAGGTGTTGTGCTCGAAATCCCAAGGCAAGCAGTTCGAATGTAATAGCAGTTCACAGACAAAGGTGTCCAGTCTCCTCCCATGTGACTCAACTTGTGTGAAATCCCACTATGGGGTCAGCTGTGAGTCAGTTCCAACGCCACGGCAGTGAGTCCTGTGTTAGAACCCATCAAATCTGTGTGCATGAGCCGTACGTCATCTAATGTTATTCCTCCTCATCTAAGCTCACAGCCATCAGCTCTCCTCCAGTGGGTTTCTGAGGCTGTAAATCACGGGCTGTAAATGCCCATCTCCCGGGGAACAGCTGGGACCTTTGCTGTTATGTGCCGTCCAGTCGCAACTCATAGTGACCCTGTGTTCAGCAGCTCTAAACTCTACCCTTGGACCGTTAGAGGCCTATTTTTGGATTAACCAAGCAACTGTCTACAGCTCCGTACCTTCATCCTACAGTCATTTATTTTTTTGTTGTGTTGTTTTTCATCACAGAGTGTACATGTAACAATAGATGTGATATTTTATTTATGCTCATGTCCAGATATTGTTGGATTTGTTGTGTGCCCTGGACTGGGATGGAGTCATGGCTACATCACGTTTTCCGGATTAGTTAAATACATAATTGGCACGTCCCACCCTTAATCTCATAGAACAACCAGTGGACTGAAACCAGTGCCTTTGGGATTGCAACCTAGCTTATTCTTTTTTTTTGTTTTTTTTTATTGGGAAAAACATATTGGGGGTGCAAGGAGGTGAGGGATGGGGGCAGAAGGGTGAGGATGGGCCAGGATGCAGTTGCAGAGCTGCACAGTTTGGTCAGTGGGGAGAGCAGGTGAAGGAGATGATGAGGGTCCAGTGGGGCCCAAATGCTACAGAGGAGTGACAAGCATTTTCCAATGGCAATTAAACCAACTGTCTTATTGATTTGGGAATTGGATGCCGACTCTCTGGCTTCTTCATGCTGAACAGGGGCGTAGATGTAAAGGGGGGAAGGAAGGGAGGAAGCTTTATCACCTTACTGGTGGTCTTGGGTTAAAGCTGCTTGCCTTCTTGCTCTGTTAGAAGATATTTTCCTGTCATTTGCTCCCCTCTGGACTGCAAGGTGTTTTCCCAGGTGGGTCCAGTGGGGATGGCTGGTTGAACCCAGAGGCTCCATCCTCCTTTGCTTCCTTAGCTTTCAGTTGTATTTCCTTTTTGTCACTGGCACTGGGTTCAGGGTTAATTCTGGAGTAAAACTCAGTGTTAAGGTTACCTATAGGAAAGGGAGCAAACCTAGAGAGAACAAACTTGTGAGTTACAAATAGAAATTTTATTGTTTTTTGTGTGTATACTGTCAAATCGGATCCGACTGGTACAGGAGGAGATTGTCCCTCCTGGTGGATTTGAACTGCGTACCTCTGGGATTGTAGTGCAGCTTCTTGCCACTAGGCCACCAGAGCTCCCACAGCCCAGCTTCTTACTACTTGGCCATAATATGTACTCAGTGAAATTTGAAATTCTATATCTCTTGCTTCTTAACTCTTTTACTAGATTCATTCCAAATCAGGTGTTGGACATTCATTATTCTCTTCTTTCCTAGAAGTCCCAAACGTTGATGGTCACCTGCCTGGACTCTTGTCTAATGAAAGAGTATTACTCAGACCGGAACACAGTAACCTGAATTCATTGGAAAATACTTACCATCAGCATAAAACTAATTTTCATTTCATGGAAAACCATGATGGATATAAACTGCCTAAGAAAACTATGAAATCCAGTACCACTTTACCCATAGTCCAGCAGAGACCTAGTAGTCAAGTAAAGCACTCTGCTGAGCTCAGTGGACAGAAGACCTTGCTCCACGGTGACTTTGACCCATTTTGGACTGAAATTATTTTCCTGGGAAGGCAGAAATCTAAGGGCAGTAAGGACAAACATCATAGATATCAGACAACTCACAAAATAAAGAAATCCCATGTGTGTCTTGACTGTGGCAAAGCCTTCCACAAGAAGTCAGCTCTCACTGTCCATCAGCGAATTCACACAGGGGAGAGACCCTACGTGTGTAGGGAGTGTGGGAAAAGCTTCAGAACGAAGTGTTCTCTCACTGTTCATCAGCGAACTCATACGGGGGAGAGACCGTATGTTTGCAGGGAGTGTGCGAAAGGCTTCACCAGGAAGAGTCAACTCACTCTCCATCAGAGTACTCACACTGGAGAGAGTCCCAGTGTTTGCAGGGAGTGTGGAAAAGGGTTCATCACGAAGGTTCAGCTCACTGCCCATCAGCGAATTCATACTGGGGAGAGACCCTATGTGTGTAGGGAGTGTGGGAAAGGCTTCATCACAAAAGGTTACCTCACTGTCCATCAGCGAACTCACACTGGAGAGAGACCCTATGTGTGTAAGGAGTGTGGCAAAGGGTTCATCATGAAGGGTGAACTCACGATCCATGAACGAACACACACTGGAGAGAGACCCTATGTGTGCCGGGACTGCGGAAAAGGCTTCATCAAAAGGGGTAAGCTCATTGTCCATCAGCGAATTCATACTGGGCAGAGTCCCAATGTGTGCAAGGAGTGTGGAAAAAGGTTCGTCAGAAAGGATAACCTCACTGTCCATCAGCGAATTCATAATGGAGAGAGACCCTATGTGTGTAAGGAGTGTGGAAAAGGGTTTGTCACGAAGGGTGAACTCACCATCCATCAACGAACACACACTGGGGAGAGACCCTACGTGTGTCAGGACTGCGGAAAAGGCTTCACCAAGAGGAGTCACCTCATTGTCCATCAGCAGACTCATAGTGGTGAGAGTCCCATTGTGTGCAGGGAGTGTGGAAAAGGGTTCATCGCAAAGGCTTACCTCACTGTCCATCAGCGAAGTCATACGGGGGAGAGGCCCTATGTCTGCAGGGAGTGTGGGAAACGGTACTTTAAGAAGGGTTACCTCACTGTCCATCAGCGAACTCACACTGGAGAGAGACCCTATGTGTGCAAGGAGTGTGGGAAAGGGTTCATCGCAAAGGGTGAACTCACTAGCCATCAACGCACACACACTGGGGAGAGACCCTATCTGTGCCAGGAGTGTGGAAAAGGCTTCACCAAGAGGTTTAACCTCACAGTCCATCAGCAAATTCATAATAGGGAGAGTCAGAGTCCTAATGTGTGCAGGGAGTGTGGCAAAGGGTTTATCAGAAAGGCTTACCTCACTGTCCATCAGCGAATTCATAATGGAGAGAGACCCTATGTGTGCAGGGAGTGTGGCAAAGGGTTCATTACGAAGGGGAAACTCACTGTCCATCAACGAACTCATACTGGAGAGAAGCCCTATGTGTGCAAGGAATGTGGGAAAGGCTTCACTGAGAAGACAAAGCTTACTTGTCATCAAAGAAGTCACTGAAGGACGACCCAATACA